GAACAGAAGGGGGAATTAATATTTTTTCTGTGCTCTAACAAAGTAGTAAAAAGATGCTCTCTCTCTCTCTCTTTACAGTATGGTAAGGGAATGTTGATTAGTTTTAGTGGTTATACATGTGGAACAAAAGTTAGAACTCCCAATCGGGCACTGGGTTGTTGTTATTGTGTTGGTGGGATATCTGATAGTGTTTTGTTACAGCTACGTTGTTATATGACAAATGATGTAATATTTTTTAGATAATGTCAGCAAATCAATCCCAATGCTCCCAGCACCACTACATAACCCAGTTTCCCCCTGCTCTAGTGCTAGGTAAAGCTACAAAGGTAAACTGAAATAGATTTCTTACTGATTTACACTTACTATAGATTTATTGCAACATGAGGATTTTGTGAACTATAGCCTGCTTCATCTGATGAAAGATGTGTATCCTACATTGGAAGATTATGTCTGCATAAATATGAAATTACAAAACTAGACTCATGGCTTTAGAGAGTGACAAGAAGCGGGACCCGTGATACTCACGGGAGGGTATTCTCCAGGGCTCCCAGGTGGCTGGCCTGCTGAAGCAGCAGGAGCTCTGCACAAAGGAGGAGGCTGCAGCAGCTGCAGGAGAGCCCAGGAGGCGATCCACTGAGCTCGCCAGGCTTCCCACACACACCTGAAAGCAGCAACGGCCACGACTCTAGCCACCGGCCCTCCAAGGTTTCTCCCCCTTGCCACCACGACCGCCAGCAGGGATTGCCCCAAATCTGGGGATTGCCCCCAGGTGCCCCCAATGTGTGGATTTAGATACCCGCAAGCAGGGAGCATCTTGAAAAGGTACATGCTATGTAGACCAAGTAGATAAGAAGGGTATTTTTGGCAGGCACTGCTTGTTTGGTAAGAGGGAGTAAAACTAATCCTGCTTCTTTTACGCAATTATGATGGCGTCCATAGATACAAGGAGCCTCCTGGCCCTGATTGTCGCCAGCCCGCCAAGGCTTCTCCCCCCCCCGGCAACAGCAACAACGTCTGTGGCTCCCAGCGCCAGCCCTCCAAGGCTTCACCCTCCCCCCATCGTTGCCAGCAGCAACAGCAGCAAGCCCTGTGTGGCACCTAGCCACGGGGCCGGCCAGACTCTCTCACCCGCGCGCAGGACAGGAGATGGCTACTATTTGTGTGATTCCGATTTTGTATGCCTGATGAAAAACCTTTAGTAAAGACAACATTTATTTAAGGACTAGCGTGTTGTCTCACTTCCTGGGATATAGCCGAGCGTCTCATTCGCCATCCGACCTCTGTATAGACTGGTATAGAACTTACGCACAGCCACAAACACCCAATTTTCCTTGGTAGATAACTTGGATTGGGTCTCCAGGAATTTCCTGGAGAAGTTGGCATAACACCACCACCACAGCTGCCAGCAGCAATGGCTGTGAGCTCTATGTCCTCCTAGCCGCCGGGCCACCAGGCTTCTCCCCCCACCACCGACAGCAACAATGTCTGTGGCTCCCAGCACCGGCTCTCAAAGGCTTCTCCTTTTCCTTCCCCCCGCCGCTTCCAGCTGCAATGGCAGCAAGCCCTGCGTGGCACCTAGCCGCAAGGCCAGCCAGGAAGCAATGGCCGCGGCTCCCAGCTGCCAGCCCAGCAAGCCCCCCCCACATGCTGATGATGACAGCAGCAACAGCAGCAAGCCCTGCGCGGCTTTGCCACAGTTCCTAGTGGTGAGTGCGTTCTCTGCGCATGCACAGGGAATTCTCCTTTACTTTTGAGGGGATTTAAGTATTTCCCCTATAGTTTTTTTACAGATTTCAGATTTACTTCTGGGGATTGCCCCAAATCTGGGGATTGCCCCCTAGGTGCCCCCGATGTGTGGATTTCGATAACCGCAAGCAGGGGGCGCCTTGGCTATTAGATATATAGATATTGAAAAGGTACAGGCTATGTAGACCACGTATATAAGAAGGGTATTTTTGGCAGGCACAGCTTGTTTGGTAAGAGGGAGTAAAATTAATCCTGCTTCTTTTACGCAATTATGATGGCTTCAATAGATACAAGGAGCCTGGCCCTGATTGTCTTCATGTATGCACCTGCCCCTTATTACCCTCCATAGGGGCAATTTAATCCCCATGAACAATGCCTCCTCTAAGCTGTGGAGTCTTGTGAGCAAAATTCTACTTGGTGAGCTACTGGCATTAAAGTTGTGAGTGAGCAATTTGGCTACTGCATAAATTAGTTTGCCCTGGAGCCATCCTTACTGAGCTAAGACAAAAATGCGTGAGCCGGAGGCTAAAAAACTGTGAGCTAGCTCACACTAACCCATCTTCGAGGGAACACTGCCCATGAGCCATTTTTTGAACAACGTATTTGGCTACTAAATAGGATAAAAATATAACTTCAGTAAATGAACAATCCAACTGAGTTATGTACTTAGTGATTTCCAGAATTCTCCAGAACAAAACAAGTTTCTAAACAAGAAAAAGAACACAAAGTCGTGCAATGCCATGTCAATTTCAACTGGAAGAAATAGGCTTGCTTCCCCTCCGCACCAAATGGCACATATGACCGCAGCCTGAAGCTCTAACCACTATACCACACTGGATGGCTGCTGTTGAACAGTAACAAGTAGCCAGGCCTAGTTGAGTCATGCAAGTTGAGTGGTATCAAGTTGCTTAGAGGTTGCTTCCAGCCTGGGGTTGCCAACCTCCATGTGGGACCTGGAGATCTTCCAGAACATAAGAACAGAAGAGAAGCCAATATTGGATCAGGCCAATGGCCATCTAGTCCAACACTCTGTCTCACAGTGGTCAAAACCCAGAATTACAACTGAACTTCAGACAACAGGTTTGCCCTCCTGGAGAAAATATTTAATGATTCTTATGAACAACAATTTGTGTATCTGTTGTGTCTTAACCATTGAAACACAATGTTAAGCTTGAAACCTCAGCTGGATTCTAATCTGGAACAACACTATTGGCTGAAGCATGATCTGTAACCAATCAAATGTAAGAGAATTGTGCTGGAGGGAACTGTGTTTATTGGTTGTTATCTCTGTAATATGATTGGACCTTAACTATGTGAGAACGTGACTACATCAGCCCGGTAGAGTTTAAAAAGTTACTTACTTCGTTGTTGAGTTGCATACTTAACAGTATCTATTAAGACTTTTACAATATTGCTTAAGAAATTCTGACATTTTCAAGGGAAAATCCAACATCATCATATCCTCAATGAGCGCCCGGTTGTCCACTCATTTCACAAATCTTCCTCAGGCGTAAACCTATAAAGTTGGAAGGTGTCAGCCTCTTGATACAACTTGATACAACTTCTTTTTGATACAGTTTAACCTCTTTTTTACTTTCTTCAAATTATTGCAGCTTAACTTCTTTTTCATCTATATATCTAATAGCGAAAGGTGCCCCCTGCGTGCGGATATCTAAATCCGCGCATTGGGGGCACCTGGAGGGGAGGGAGATTTTCGTGCACACTTGGGGCAGTCCCCAGGTGTGCACAAAAATCTAAAAACCCGGAAAAAATATTGGGGGGATACTTAAATCCCCCCAAAAGTGACAGAGCGTCCCCTGCGCATGCACAGGGAACGCTCTGCGAACTCCCTCACTGCCACCGCCGCCGCTTCG